ACTGACTCTCCTCCCCCAGAAGCCATCAACATCCATATCTGCTTAGCCAGGGATGGGGACTCATGAGCCCTTCCCACTTCCAAGCTGGATCGCTGACTAGCTTGATGTTGTACAGCCCCCTGCAGGTAGACAGCTGCTGTGAGTTCCTAGTGCAGAGTTCTATCATGTCCAGAAGATACTGTTTCCCTCTGGTCCTCCTCAGCCTCTTGTCATGTACAGACTTTTCATCTGTGCTGAGAGTGCCGAGCAGTTAAGAGCACTTGTTGCTCATGCAGAGGACCCACATGGCAGCTCACAACCATTTGTAACTCCAATTCCAGTGGATCTGGCGCCCTCTGTGGCTGCCATGGGCACTGCACACACATGGTGCCCATACCTGCATACAGGCAAACACACATAAAATAAAAATAAATCTTTTTTTTAAATCTTTCCAACCCTCTTTCTCTACCTTCCCTGAACCTTGGGGATGGTGTGTCCTGTTTGTGGCTGGGCACTCTACAAACCTTTATTATTCTCTGTGCTTTAACCAAATGTGAGTTTCTGTGCTAACCACTGTCACTTGTGCCATTTTTTTTTTTTTTTTTAGTTTTCCATTTCATGACTTTCATTTTGAGTTCACCTTTGAGCATGGAACAAGATCTGGATTGAGGTTTATTATTTTTACATGGGCATCTGGTTATCTCGGTGTCATTTGTTGGAAGGGTTCTTCTTCTTTGTTGAATTGCCTTTGTACCTTGGACACAAACTTACTGTCTACGTGTGTGTCTGTTTTTGAACCTTCTCTTCTAGTCCATGGGGCTGTACTTTAGAACTACAGAGTCATGATTATCACAGCTTCATACCAAGGTTTGATTTTGTTTTGTTTTGTTTTTTCCCTCAGTGCTAGGGGTTGAGCCCAGGGTGCTGTACATGCTAGGCAAGCACGCTACCACTGAGATGCATCCTGAGACAGGAGAATGACGGTTTAGCCTGTGTGGCAGAGTGTGTTCAAGTACAGCCTGGATAATTTAGCAAGACTCTGCCTCAGGTTTAAAAAAATAAAAATAGCTGGGGCTGTAGGTCAGAGGTAGAGAATGTGCTTAGCAAGTATGAAGCCCTAGGTCCAATCCCAAGTGCCAGGAGACTGAAAAGTCTGCTGGGCTCTTGCATGTGATTGACACCTTCAAACACTGCATCTTTGGACCCGTGAACATGGTATGTCTGATGTCACTTTTCTTTCTTTTTTTTTAAGTTTGTAATTTTATATTTATGTACAGAAAACCTAGCAGTGTACACTAACCCAATTTAGTGGCGAGTTCTTTGGCCTTTGCCTTTTCCAGCTTGGCAATCCGAGCCACAGATTTAGGGCCCAGGACGTTGCCTCCCCAGTGGCGGCGGATCTCATCATATCTGTCGTTGTAATTGATCCTAATAGCTTCCACCAGCTTAGCCAGAGCACCCTTGTCTTCCGAGTTAACCTGTGTGAAGGCAACAGTGGTGCGTGTCTTCCTGTGGACCAGCCGCCCCAGCCTGGCCTTTCCCTTGATGATGCCATAGGGGACCCCCATCTTTCGGCACAGGGCAGGCAGGAAGACCACCAGCTCAATGGGGTCTACATCGTGGGCAATCACCACCAGCTGAGCCTTCTTGTTCTCCACCAAGGTGGTGACTGTACTGACCCTGCTCGGAGGACAGGTGGTCTCTTAGTTGGGACGTCCCTTTTGCCCCTTTCTTCTCAGCACGGGCCAACAGCCTTTGTTTCTTCTCCTGCTTTGTCTCTGGCCTGCACTTGAGGCAAGCTTAAGCAGCTGGGTAGCTGTTTGCCGGTCCAGGGCCTGGGGGACCGGTTAATGGCAGGAGGTACTTTGAGCATCTTATAGAGGACGGCCCTCTGCCGCTGCAGCCTAACATAGCGGGGCCATTTGACGAAGAGTGTGAGATCTCTTTTGGGCTGGATGTCCTGCCCAATGCCCAAGTTCTTAGGCCTTTTCTCAAACAAAGGATTCACCACCTTTTTGGCCTCCTGTTTCTTCCCCTTGGCCTTCTTTCCCTTGGGCATCTCGCTCGGCTGGAGGAGAGAGAGGAGTGTCACTTTTCATTTTCCCTCTAAGCAGCTCCTGTTTCCATGCTCCTATGATAATACAACTTTAAAACTTATTCTCCAGCTGTTAATTTATACTTTAAATTTATAGTGTCCTTCGTGTGTAAACTTAGGGTTTTTGTTGTTGCTGCTTGTTTTTTTGGCTTTATTTTCCACACAGATAAGCTTGTGTTATACTGATGAAGCAGAGCTACATCTTCTTTTCCAATAGAGATGCGTTTTATTTCTCGTTTTCTTGCCTGATTGCACTGGCTAACATCATCAGAACCTAGTGCTGAATAGATGGAATGGGAAAGTTTTTTTTTCTTTTGGATGAATTATTTCTTATGCTTTTATTTTAATCTTATCTTTTTCAGCCCTAACTCTTAGCAGCTACTTTAGGATTTGTAGTATACCTCCTTAAATATTGCAGTTTGTCTTTGAGATGGTACTATACCATAGTCCATGCCTTCTGAGCTTCCAGTGGCCTCTATACACTGTGGGCCATGTTCTATGTGGTATGAACCCCACACAACCCTGTTAATTTTTAAGCGGCCAGTTTTTCTTTTGTAGAGATAATGAAAACGCTGCATTTCTTACTCGTGACATTTCCATTTACAGTGCAGTTTATCCTGAGTGCCGATCCTCCTTCCTGCACACTCTCATCCCCTTCTGCCTGAGGCCCCCTCGGCATCTCAGTAATGTGGGTGTACCAGAGGTCATTTCAGTCTGTGTATCTGATGGAGTTTTTTTTGATTTTGCCTTTGCTTTTTAAATGTATTTTTGCTGGGTATAGAATTCTGGGTTGGGTTTCCCTGGAGTGTCTGGGGATGCTGCTCGGCCGTTTTCTGACTTTCGTCATTTCTGACTAGAAATCTGCCATGGCTCTTCTCTTTCTTCTACGGTATGCCACATGTCCTTTCCCTCTGTCAGTTTCCATCTTGACGAGAATGTCGGAGCGGTTCAGTTAGAACGTGCATTGTCCATTTAGTTGTTTGGTCTTTGGAGCTCATGGTTCAAGCTTCTTGGATCAACAGGTTCACAGTTTCCATCAAGCTTGAGGAAGTTTCCGGCTCCTTGAGAATCTAGTAACTGATGGGTGAGGCTGTTCTCAGTCCAGCAGCGCTCTCAAGGCATCAGCCCTGGAAACCACAGCACCTACTTTATTTCTTATCTCAGAGGATCACAGTCCACTGTGGTCTGGTGTCCAGAGTCCCATTTCATGTGTTTTCTCATAATTTAAGTTTATTTTTAGATTGATTTGTTTTTATTTCATGTGCATGGATGTTTTACCTGCATGCATAGATGGTGCACCACGTGAGTACTTGTTGGAGCCCCGTAACTGGGGTTATGGATGGTTGTGAGCCACCGTGTGGGTACTGAGAATCAAACCCAGGTCCTCTGTAAGAGCACAAGTGCTCTTAACCACTCAGCCATCTCTCCAGCCCTTTTTTTCTCATTTTTTTTTTTTGTGGTTGCAGTCCAGATGTCAACTGCTGCTCTGTCGATGCTGGAAACATCACTTTTGGTTGCATTTTGAAGCGGTTTGGGTGCCAGAGAGATTGCTCAGTGGTTAAGAGCGTGTAGTACTCTTCCAGATGACTCAGGCTCAGGTGCCGGCATGCACATCAGACTGCTCACAATCACCTGTAATTCCAGGTCCAGGGATCTGATGCCTTCCTTGAGCCTCTGTGGGTACTCACATATACATAGAACACACACAGAAACACACACACACAAATAAAATAAAAATAAATATTAAAAATATAGTTGGGGGTGTTGGGGATTTAGCTCAGTGGTAGAGTGCTTGCCTGGCAAGCGCAAGGCCCTGGGTTCAGTCCTCAGCTCTGGAAGAAAAAAAATACACACACACACACACACACACACACACACACACACACGTAGTTGGGGATGGCTGGGTATGGTGATGTACCTTTAATTCCAATATTCACGAGGCAGGAGTAGATAGACTTCTGTGAATTCAAGTCTAGCTTGGTATACATAGCAGCTCCTAGCCATCTAGGGATACATAGTGAGACTCTGTCTCATGAAAATAAAAATAAATAAATAAAATACAGTTTGGGGGTGGGGAGATTGCTCAGTGGTTAAAATATTTGTTGCCTGAGTGTGAGGACCAGAGTTCGGATCCCCAGAAGCCACATACATGCCGGGTGGCTATGACAGCCTACCTGTAATTCTAAAGTTTGTAGAGTTGAGAGGAATCCCCAGAGCAATCTGGCTAGCCAGGCTAGCCGTGTCAGAGAACTCTGGGTTCAGTTGAAAACTCTGCTGCAATGAATATGGCAGAGAGCAATCAAGAAGAATTTCTACATCAACATTGGGTTGGGTTTCCACACCCGCACAAATGCAAGTGCACCTGCACGTGCACACACACACGCACACACACACACACACACACACACACACACACACACACACACACACGTGAACAGGCATATACATACCACAGGCCCATCCACATGGGAGAAAACAGTTTGATCATCCTGGTTGGTTTTCCTTTGGAAAATGACTTGTAGTGAGCACACACTGAACAGCAGTGTAAAACGGGGTGATCTGGAGCCGGTTTGATTGACTTTAGATTCTGCTGTGGACCGTTGAGAACTAGAAGGTTACAAAAGAGCTGATTGTCACTGATTGTTATCTGTGTGGAATGGTGGATCTCAACCTCAGCTGTACGTTGAATCACCTGGGAGATTTGGGGGAAAAAAAAAACCACTTGATTCAGCTCCACCCAAGAAATTATGATTTAATTTGCTTGGCATCCGGCCTAGATGTCAGGATTTTTGGAAGCTCAAGTAATTTTAACGAGCAGCCAAGGTAAAGAGCCACTGATGAAGGGCACAGCCCCGGCTCTCAAGTGTCCACAGTCATCTTCAATTCCCTTCTTGTCTCTCCTTTCTCCTCGGCCTCCCTCCCCCAGCAAAGTCCAGGTCCTCTATGGGGGGACGGACCTCTTCGACTATGAGGTGCGCAGGACTTTCAATAATGACATGCTTCTCGCCTTCATCAGCAGCAGCTGCATCGCTGCCCTTGTCTACATCCTCACTTCCTGCTCAGGTACGGCATCCCAGAAGGCTCATGTAAGCCAGTGCCTTCTCTCCCTGCAGCATGCTCCCTGTTCAAAGGTACCAGGATAGCCTTGAATCCAGCTAGTCAGCGCTGGACCAAATGGTGCTCGGACACCATGACAACTTTGTGTAGGGGCATCTGGGACATTTTTAGACTGTTCTCAATTATTCAAGGGCCTACTCTGTGTACCACATCAGCTGCCCTTTTGCCCACAACTTATCTCCCTACCACCACCACCTCCTCACATGTACCAGCTGCCTCTAACTGCTACATGTATACAGTAGGCATGTGATCTTGCCCAAATGAGCAGAGGTAGAAAACTGGACAAGGCATGCAATCACTCACGCAGCAAATATTAGTTGGGCGCTAGATATATGCCCAATGTTCTGACTCACCAGGATCCAGTGGTGAACCAGACAGAGGTCCTGCAGAGCAGAACCTCCAATCTCCTCAGGTGACACACAACATAAAACACTCACAATTCTCTCCTTGTATGTAAGGTTGTCTGGAAGAGGTCCTGTAGGCAGCCTGACCTCAGATGGTTTCATCTGCCACCCAGGCCTCCTGCCCAGCCCCTTCTCTGGGAATGAAGGGCTTCAAATTCTGCAGATTGTCCCTACACCTGGCTGGGAGCAGACGGGGTGGTGCAGGGGCCCAGGATGAGGGGCTGAGGTCAGGGTTACTGAAGGGGTCTGTGTCCTGTGAGGGCCCTCCCGTGACCCTTCTGCTCCTCCCCCTGCCCAGTGTTCCTGTCCTTCTTCGGGATTGCCAGCATCGGCCTCAGCTGCCTGGTGGCACTCTTCCTCTACCATGTGGTTTTTGGCATCCAGTACTTGGGCATCCTCAATGGAGTGGCTGCCTTTGTGATTGTGGGCATTGGTAAGTTGTCTCCCACCCACGGCAGAGGACTCCCTCTTGAGAACTCTGCCCCTTCCCCAAGAAGGTATTCTGGGTAATGATGAGGGTGGTGGGAAGATGACTAAGTTTTGGAAGAAGGGTGGGTGGGGCCAGGAAACATGATGGATGGGGCTTGAAGACAGTGACTGGGGACCAAGGAACATGGCAGGCGGTGTTCCGTCACAGTGGGTGGGGCTTGGAGACTTAGTGGGTGGGGCTTGGAGACATTGGGTGAGGCCAAGGAGTCTGGAGCCAGTCAGATAGGCCAGAGCTGAGCTGCCAGACTGTCCTGCACCTGACCTCAGGCACACAAGTGGGACCTGAGCTGAGCTGCCCTCTGGCTGGGCCTCCCTTCTGCAGGTGTGGATGATGTCTTTGTGTTCATCAACACCTACCGCCAGGCCACCCACCTGGAAGACCCCCAACTGAGGATGATCCACACCATCCAGACGGCAGGCAAGGCCACCTTCTTCACCTCACTGACCACTGCCGCTGCCTATGCAGCCAACGTCTTCTCCCAGGTGGGAAGCCTGCCCCAAAGTCCCTGTCCTGGCGTCCCATCCGTCCACACATCCCTGACCCCAGTACCGTCATCTCAAGGCCCTTGCTGTGACTCTGTCGTCCATTTCTGTGACTAACGACCCATTCGCAAACCAAGTGGGACGGTTCCAACAGTGCAGTTAGTTATTGGTGCCCGTGAATAGGCACTCCGCCGCAGCCCTGGGGAAACGGGCATTTTCTGAAGTTCTTCACCATCTGATCTTAACAACCCAAGACAAAAAATGTACAGTCACCATCTCTGTTTTCCCAGTGCAGAAACCAGGGCCCAGAAAGGTAAAGTGACTCTCAGGGCCACAGCTGGTGACCCCAATACAGACTCCCCGCCCCCGCCTGAGCTCGCTTTCCTTGCCGCTGCATGCTCCATTTTGACCTCTTGTACAGTCGGTCGGTCCGTCTGTCTCCCTCTCTTTTCTCTCTTCTCTCCCTTCCTGTCCCCACCTCACTCTCGCTCCCATATTTCTGAGTGGGCTCTGTGTACATAGGAGCACATCTTTTAGAGACTTCGTGGCCTGGCCCCAAAGCTCATGTAAACCTCTCTGGGCCTCAGTTCCTCAGTGGATTATTCTGGAGCTGAAATGATCAGGTGGTGAGGTGGTTTCACAAACTTCAGATCTGCCTGCTGATTGGCGAGGGTTTCCTCCAATCACCACAGCCTTGGACAGGTCCCTGTGGGGTTTTTGGGACTCCTGTCTCCTGCTTCCACTGTTGAGCACCAATCTTCCCTTCGTCCTCATCAACCTGCAGCCTGGTTTTGAGGGATGTGTCTTAACTTGGGTAATGGCCACATCAGAGGCTTCCTCTGGGGCGGATGCTGTTCCCAGCTGGCTGCGGGTAGACCAGAGCCTCTGCTCTCGGGTGGAGCAAGTTCTTCCTCTGCTGCTGTGTCCAGCCGAGCTCTCGGTGTCTGGCATCCTGCAGGCTCAGTACTGCTGTCCTGCAGCCAAACTGTTCCTACTTCAGCCTGGACAGACCCAGCTCTGGCTGCCTCTGGCCATGGAGACAGCCAAGCCTGACCACCGTCCTCTTCTCCATGCGTCCTGGCTGCAGATCCCAGCTGTGCATGACTTCGGCTTGTTCATGTCTCTCATTGTGACCTGCTGCTGGCTGGCTGTGCTCTTCACCATGCCTGCAGCCCTGGGCCTCTGGAGCCTCTACATGGCACCTCTGGAAAGTTCCTGCCAGAGCAGGTGAGTGGCCTGCACCCTTCACACCCTGAGTAGCCACAACACCCTGCCTCTCTTTCCAAAGCCTCTGGGCTTCTGTGTGCTCAGTCCTAGGCTAGGCGGGGATGGAAGGAGCAGCTGCCGTCCAGCGTCAGTTTGTGGTCATGTGAACAGGAGCTGGGCATACTCATGCATGTCTTTAACCACCATTCCCCTCAAGGACCCATGGACCTGTGTCCCCCTACTGTGCCTTTTATGCAAAGGAGGAACCTAACCTAGGGCATAGGGTATCTTAGGGCAGCTTTCCCACCTGCTGTGACCCTTTGTGTCCCCAGAGGAAGAGTGGCAGCTGAGGGTAGATGGCTTGCTTCAGAATTCAGCACTGGCTTGTCAGTGGTACCTTTCCTGAGAGGCAGGAGCAGCCGTGTGTGCTGCCTGGGCTCATGTGATGTCCAGAGCGTGTGCCACCCTCTCTGGGGGCCGCGACTCCCAGCCTCATGCCTGTCCACTGCCCTCCATAGCTGCCACCAGAAGTGCGGCCGCAAGAGCTCCTTGCATTTCCCTGGGGACCTGTTTGCAGCTCCAGAGCGGGCTGGGGGTGGCCCTGCCCAGGGCCCCCTACCCTACCTGGATGATGACATCCCCTTGCTGAATGTCGAGGATGAGCCAGGTAAGAGCTGGCCAGCCTGACTGGGGCTGGCCTCCACGGGGACATTCAAAGATAGGCTGGTCCCAAAGGAGCCAGGCCAGATGGCCTGTGGGGACCCTGCCCAGCATGTGGCCTTCCCCAGTGCAGGTGCGGGCTAGAGCAGGTTGAGGCCCAGACTTTGACTGGCTACCACTCTGCCTGGCAGTGTCTCTGGAGCTGGGAGACGTGTCGCTGGTGTCTGTGCCCTGTGAGGGTCTGCAGCCCGCCCCCGACGGGAACAGCAGGGGCCAGCTCCTCGCCCAGCTGCAAGAGCTGTTGTACCACTGGGTCTTGTGGGCAGCTGTCAAGAGCCGCTGGGTGATTGTAGGTGAGTGTGAGCAACTCCCTTCCTGCCTCCTTACAGCTCCACCGCTACACGGGTGTGAAGGCAGACACCCCCCCCACCCCCACACACACACCAAAACCAACCAACCAAACAACACCAGCAACAAAAATAGATAACAAACACCAGGTGTGAAGTGGCACTCAGAGGCCTGGGCAGGACCTCCTCTCTGCCTCCTCCTCCTGCATAGGCTGCCCCTGGGCCTCCTCAGCCACCGCTTCCAAGCTGCCGTGTGCCAGGCAAGACGGCAGAGTCCTCATGCTTGGCCCTGGAAGAGACTAGCCTGGCTGAGTTTGAACCCTGGTTCTGCCCTGTGTGACCTTGGCTGTGCCCGCCAGTCTAACACTTGATAATGAGGGTGGTAACAGTGCCTAGGGTCTAGGGCGTAGCTCAGTGGTAGAATGCACGTTCTGGGCCTGGGTCTAGTAAGACAGCTGTAAGGAGTGTGACACATTTATAAAGGTCTTAGCCAGGCACAGGCGTGCCCAGTGCTCAGTGTACGTATGAGGAACCATCGCCGTCTTCAGTGGCGCATCAGAGCTGCTGCAGAACCAGCTCTTTGGAGACTCTCGGATGCGCTGAGACACTAGCTAGCTGTCTTAGTTAGGGTTTCAGTTGCTGTGAAGAGACACCATGGCCGTGGCAACTCTTATAAAGGAAAATGTTTAATTGGGGTGGCTTAGAGTTTCAGAGGTTTAGTCCATTATCATCAATGGCAGGACACAGCAGCATGCAGGCAGACATGGTGCTGGAGAAGGGACCTACATCTTGATCTACAGGTAACAGGAAGTGAATTGTGTCTACACTGAACGTAGTTTGAGCATAGGAGACCTGAAAGCCCACCCTCACAGTGACACACTTCCTCCAACAAGAGCACACCTACTCCAACAAAGCCACACCTCCTAATAGTGCCGCTCCCTAGGAGATGGTGGGCACCAGTTACATTCAGACTACCACACTAGCCCTTGTGGAGGTGTGTCAGCTTGTAGCTTACCACCAGGCCCCAGCCACTCCACAAACACGATAGCTATCCCTGCCTCTCATGGGACCATCCCTGTCCACTCCCCTGCTCTCCACACTGAGAGTGATTCTGCCAGGGTGGGGTGCCAGCCTCAGCTCTTTCACGGGGCATCATCTCACAGGGCATATTTTCCTCACAGGACTCTTCGTCTCCATCCTCATCCTGTCCCTGGTGTTCGCCAGCCGGCTCCGCCCCGCCAGCCGGGCCCCACTGCTCTTCCGGCCTGACACCAACATCCAGGTGCTGTTGGACCTCAAGTACAACCTGAGTGCTGAGGGCATATCCTGCATCACCTGCTCAGGTGAGGATCCCCGCGGACTGAGCTCACTGCCTGTGGTGTCTGAGCCCACTGTTGGCCTGAGAGATGAGATAATGCAGGGGTGCAGTGAGCAGGAAGGACAGACGTCCTGGCCTTGGGGTCCACATTTCCAAGTCAGGGACAAGCTGTTACAATAGCAGATAGGAGCCTTTGTGGAGGAAGGAGAGGGTGCTTTGTAGGCATTGATATCCTGGAAGGCTGCCCAAAGGTGGTGTCCAAGCAGATACTTAAAGAATGAGAGTCATCAAGCTAATAGAGCTGGGGAGGGAAGGAATGGGTTAGACCAAAGGAGAAGAAGGTCAGTCAGGCCAGGTGGGCAGAGCCAAGGAAGGGGGACTCTAGGCTGAGGGCAGTGGCGGAGATGGGGAAGGGCAGAGCCGAGTCTGAGAGGGGGTGGCTGCTGGGGCTGACACTGGTCCGTGAGTGGATGGGAGGAGCAGGATTCTGGGGGCAGTTGGGTTGGTGGCGGGTGGAAGGGGGCAGGAGGCTGGCACTATCTCTGGAGGGGACATGGAGGAGCCAGGGAGTCACTGTTTTAGGAGTGATTTGGTACCTGTACGTGACGACTCCGTCGGTGTTAAGATCGGGATCGGGAGGAGTGGCTTCCACGGTATCTGGTCTAGGCTCTTACTCAGGGCAGGGAGACTGGGGGTGGGGCAAAGGTTGGCACGGGTCAATCCACTCTGCCCGGGTGGGCGGAAGCACAGTGAGAGAGTGCTTAACTGAGCTGAGTGCCTGCAGCTCGAGAGAGGAGCCCGGCTGCCACTGCTGTAATTGCCTTCACTTAATTAGGGCGTTGTTCCCATTAACCCAGCCTTCCCCCTTGGTCGTGGCATGAGCTGAATGCGTGATAGCAGACTGGAGCCCTGACAGGTACCCAGAGCCCTGCGTCTCACAGTCAGCCCCAGCTCAGTCCCCAGGTCGTCGCTAGGGCTCACAACTGCTCTCCATGGTCACAGCACACATCCCCAGGGACCCCCTGCCTGCCCCCCGCCCCCTCCACTTCCCAGCTGGATGGACACCAGAGCAGCCAGCCATCTGAAGGAGCAGCCTCCCCTGGCCTCCCCTCACTTCCTGTGCAGTCCCTGGTTCCCAAAACTATGGCTCTCTCCTCTGCCAATGAGGTTAATAACCCTGACCTCGGGCTGGCTGTGAGGGCTGCTATTTTAATGTGTGATGTATCTCTCGATTGAACAAACATTTTGTCTGTAGCACTGCGACAAAGCGGGCCATTGCCCAGCCTTACCTAATAACTGGGAAATCGAGGCACAGAGTGGGCATGTGGGGACATCACCAGCGGGTCTTCCTCCAGATGGGGACGTAATAAACATTTGATGTTTTCCTTGGTTCTGTTGAGTCTCCCTCAAACCACTGATATCCACTCCCTCCAGCCTCTGGGCCCTTCATAGACTCTGGTCTGTCCTCCTTGCCCACCAGGCATGGCCAGAGAGACTCCCATGTCCCTGACTCAGTCTGTGTGTGTGTGGGGGGGCGCGGGGCAGGTCTTTTCCAGGAGAAGCCCCACAGCCTGCAGAACAATGTCAGGACATCCCTGGAGAAGAAGAAGCGAGGTTCTGGAGCTTCCTGGGCCAGCCGGCCTGAGGCCACTGCGCAGGGTGAGTGGGGTGGGGTCTGTAGATGCACACTGGCGCTCCCCGTCTGACTCCACATGGAGAGCAGGTCACATCTAGAGCTGATGCTCCCATGGGAACAAGAACTTGTGTCCTTGGGTTATTTAAGGGACAGCATATGGAAAACTCAGAGTCCTCACCCACCATCTCAGCAGCCCTCAGAGCTCAAGGAGAACTCAAGGCTTCTTCTGCCAACCGCAGCCTCCATGAGCCTGCCCTGGTCACCAGAGTCATCCTGAGAGTCAGTCTAGGGTGTCCTGAGCCTTGACAATCTCTCCTTGGGTCCCCAGAAGACAAGGGTCCCCTGGGACAAGGGGAAGTAACTCTAGTGGACAGTTGTGTTTGTCCCTGTCACCCATGGTCACACCATTGTCATTCCAGACCCTCCCCATCTTCACACTGGGTCCTACAGATGGCAACACTCCCCTACTTCATTGTGTGTCTCCCACCGTCATTGGTGTGACTCTGTCTGGGACTGCTACCACATTCCATCATCACTGCTATCACCACTGCCACCATCACCGTCACTACCCTGTCACATGACCATCACCACCACTGTCCCATTCCATGACCTTCACCTACCACCACCACCACCCCACCCCATGACCGTTACTTCTCACCATGACGGTCACCACCCCATCCCATGACCGTTACTTCTCACCATCACCGTCACCACCCCATCCCATGACCGTTACTTCTCACCATGACGGTCACCACCCCATCCCATGACCGTTACTTCTCACTATCGCTGTCACCACCCCATCCCATGACCGTTACTTCTCACCATGATGGTCACCACCCCATCCCATGATCGTTACATCCCACCATCGCTGTCACCACCCCATCCCGTGATCGTCACTTCTCACCATCGCCGTCACCACCCCATCCCATGACTGTTACTTCTCACCATCGCCATCACCACCCCATCCCATGACCGTTACTTCTCACCATGACGGTCACCACCCCATCCCATGACCGTTACTTCTCACCATCGCCGTCACCACCCCATCCCATGACCGTTACTTCTCACCATGACGGTCACCACCCCATCCCATGATCATCGCCTCCCACCATCATTGCCCGGTCCCTTGTCAACGCTTGAGGATGAACCCAAGGTCACTGCTCAGCTCCTCAGGCAGCAGAGCTAAGGTGGGCTTCTGTCACATCCTGAAGCTGTTAAGGTCACTGTCCCCTCCTCTTCCATCCCTTGCTTATTCTCAGAGTCCATGAGCACCGTGTACATCTCCAAAGTGAAGAGCAAAGGCCGTCCGGCTGTCTACAGGCTATCCCTCAACGCCAGCCTGCCAGCCCCCTGGCAAGCCGTGTCCCCTGGAGATGGAGAGGTGCCATCCTTCCAGGTGAGCCTCGGTGGTCATGAAATAGGCACTGAGGAGGGGCTGTTGGTGCCATACTGGTGAATACTGGCCGTGTAGGCAGGGAGCAGGGCCCCTGAGGATTCAGCTGCTCCAGGCACATGAGGACTAGGCCATAGCAGTCAGATGTGTTACGGGACCTACAACCGGGCAGACCTGGGTTTGAGTCCTAGCTCTGGCATGTGTAACTTGCATGTTGTTGGACAGGTGACTCAGTCTCTCTGAGCCTCTGTTTCCTCATCTATGAAATGGGGATATAAAAGACATTATTGGAAACAAGAGCTGGTAACCACCCAACAGCCGAAATGCAGTAACTGTCCACACTGGCAGCCCATAGTTCATCCTATAATGAAGAGTGTGTCCGGAAGACAGCCTCCCAGGACCAGCCCTGATTCAGTATCCCCTTAACAGGACCATTCATGTTCCTTTAACCTTTCCCACTGTCCAGACATCTGGCACAGAGGAACCTACCTGGTCAGATTGTCCTCCCCACCACAAATGCCACCCCACCCTCCCCAGCCCCGCCTGACCTCTCTTCTCCTCGGCCACTTCTCTCACCTGATGGTCCTGTCTGACTTTATCTGGCCCAACTGGAATCTGATACCATCCCCACTGCCAACTCCACAAGGGCGGGGCCTTGCCCATGCTGCCCAGGCTCAGTCCTTAGATCCAGGCGCAGAGCCTGTCCCAAGAAGACACCTACTCTCTCAGTTTCATTTCTCCTGCTGTGATAAATACCCTGATGCAAAGCAACTTAGGGGAGAGAGGGGTTTATTTCAGCTTACAATTCTAAATTTCAGTCTGTCATTGTGGGGAAATCAAGGCAAGAACTTCAGCTAGTCACACCAGATCTGCAGTCAAGAACAGGGAAATAAATGCATGCTCGCCCGCTTGCTTGTGTTCAGCTGTCTCTCCATTCATGGACAGTTCAGGACTCCCTGACTAGGGGATGGTGCCACCCACAATGGACTGGGTCTTCTCGCGTCCGTTAACTGAGACATCTCCCACAGGCCAACCCAGTGTAGACAGTCCTCCATTGAGAGTCTCTTCCCCAATGACTTTTGATTGTGTCAAGTCAACCATGAAGGCTAGCCCAGTGAGTTCTTGGTGGAGAGAAATGAGGTTCAGAGAGAAGGGGGGCAAAGGGAGAGAGGAGGAGTTGCCCAACTTACAAGTTCAAACCTAGGCCTCTGAGCTCTGGGAAGCAGCACAGGGTGGGAGGTAGCCCAAGGAGGGAGGGGACAGACCTTGAGGCCGGGCAGGCCGAGGCAGCCTCCCCGAGTCACGTGTCTTGTCTCTGTCAACCCACTGCTTAGGTGTATAGAGCGCCTTTTGGTGACTTCACCAAGAAGCTGACCGCTTGTATGTCTACAGTAGGGCTGCTCCAGGCGGCGAGCCCCTCCCGCAAGTGGATGGTGACGGCCTTGGCCTGCGATGCCAAGCGGGGCTGGAAGTTTGACTTCAGCTTTTACGTGGCCCCCAAGGAGCAGCAGCACACCCGGTAAGAGCCGTGCGGACGGGCCTGTGCACGCCGCCCGGGCCACGCAGACGATCGCCATCCCCTGTACCCAGAATGTTCTCCTCGTGTCCTTCTGAGCTTACTCCTCCAGATTCAAGTTTCTAGCCTAATGCACCCCCTGGGGGAGGCTGTCCCTGTACAGAGCCCCCACCCCATCCAACATCACCCCACTCAGACTCTTCATGCAGCACCTGCTGCTGTTTCTGGCCCAGCTGCCGTCTACAGTCACATTGCTCTGGCATGTGACCTGTCCAGCCCCAGGAATGTGTCCTTCAGGGCACTCTGAGATTGTTCCGGCTGTGTCCCGCACTTTGTGTGGTGTCTGGCATATGATAGGCACTCAGTATGTCCCTGCTGGCTGGATGAGTGTGTGACACACTTCCTATCCAAGGCTCTCACCCACTTGTGATAAGCAGCTGGTTTCCTGCGCCCTCTCCTACACTGCTGGGGAATGGCATAGATTGTATCTGTTGTACTTTCTACTTTACGCTCAGTCTCCACCCTCTGGCATGCAGCAGGTGCCTAATTCTTGCTGAATAAGAGCTACATTCTCCACCTGATGGGGTCCCAAGCCCCCAGGGCAGCCTTGCCCCGGGCTTTATACCCTCGTGTTATGAACACAGCCTTATTTATCAGGTAAGGCTGTCTTGGCATAAGTATCCAGTCATTAATTTTACAGATACTGTATGTGGACTGTGAGTCATCATGCAAGGGGCAGGATGGGGTAGGGAGCAACTCTCTGGGAGACAGGCAGCTGCCAAGTGGCAGCAGGACCCTGGAAGACTAGGATTCACACTCAGGAACAGCCCAGCCCCCACTCCAGGAGGGCATCTCAATTCCCGGCGTACGCTGAGTGTGCCACCTGGGGACTGCGGTCTGACAAGGAACAGGCTCCAGGACATTCAGCTCCCCCACCCCCCAGGTTGACTCCTCTTGGGGTACAGAGGTGAATTCAGGAGGCAGCTGGTATTGAGGTGGCTCTAGCTAGGTCCTTTCCACCCAAACATCCCTTGTCTCAGGGTGGACTGTCTGCTCCTGAGCCCAGGGCTGGGCATGCTTTGTATGCACAGCTGTGGACTGAAGCCTGGCAGCTCCCTGGATAAACTTTCTGGAAGAAACTAGAAGCCAGTTGCAAACTCGAGGCTCCTTGACCCCTGTGGTTTCGATGGGTCATAGTCTTCAGAGGTGGGGACACTCAGGCTGGCCCCAGGTCCTTCCTGAACCAGGAGGACAGTTTTAAAACTGGACACTTGTGCTCCCTCAACTCTTGTGCCCGTGTGGGAGACTGAGAGCTGGGGGAAGAGCTTTGATCATGGCCAGGTTGGTCTTGGCAGAGGCAGGGCTAGAGCAAGCCACCAGATCCCCGGCCCCGGGCATCCTCTTCCCCTGTGCTGGGGGAGCCCAGCTTGGTCCCTGTCCTCCCTGGCCCCTGAAACGGTCTCTTGCCTCACCTCCCCGACCTTTCCTGGACTGCCTAGGCCAGCCAGGCCATCTCACCTCACATCCTTGCAGTTTTCTTGGTCTTCCCACTCAGCCCGGCCTCCCTGCCTCCACAGGAAGCTGTACTTTGCTCAGTCTCACAAGCCCCCCTTCCACGGGCGCCTGTGTGTGGCTCCGCCTGGGTGCTTGCTCAGCTCCAGCCCTGATGGGCCCACCAAAGGCTTCTTCTATGTGCCTAGTGAGAAAGGTACTTGCGGGGGCACATCCCCGGGGGGACGGAGGAGGGCCTCAGAAGCCCGGGCCCCGCCCTCAGTGTTGGCTTTGACTCTCTCCCGCAGTTCCCAAGGCCCACATCTCTGCCACCTTTGGCTTCAACCCTTGTGTGAACACAGGCTGTGGGAAGCCAGCAGTGCGGCCACTGGTGGATACCGGGGCCATGGTCTTCGTGGTCTTCGGTATCATTGGCATCAACCGCACACAGCAGATGGACAACCACGTTATCGGGGACCCGGTACGGTCACTTTGGGCAGGTGTGGAAGGGCCCAGCTGCAGCAGCAACCTTGGAAACTGGCACCTGCGCGTGGCCTGCCAGCCTAGCCCTTCACATACAATCATGACACCTACAAAGCTCTTCCAGCCCACACGGGACCTCCACAGGCCCCCAAGGGGGCATCGTTCCCCTGGAGAGCCGAGCAGAACTGATTGAGAATTACTCAGGAACATGGGTGCATTTGGGGACCCTACACTGGCTGGCAGTCTCCATTCAGGGCTGGAATAGGGATGAGAGGAAGCATGTGTGAAACCTGTCCTTCTCTGGGATGGGGTCTGTGTGACATCACTGACCGTGTGTCATTGAAGGCCTGGCAGGTGTACTTAAAATGTCACTAGAGGTCATAGTTGGGTTGGGCACAGGCATGGCAGGCACAGCCTCTCCAGTAACAAAAGGAAGAAGATGAGCCCTGTCTTTCCAGTCCAGATGGACACTGTCCGCGTTCAGGGTAGGGGTGGGAGCCTGGGCAGGGGACAGGCAGGCCTGCAGGCTAGAGCTGGCTGGAAGCGGGGGAGAAAAGCATGAAGTCCAGCTGAGAGAGAACAGAGGTGAGAGCAGAGCACTGCAGGGGGAGCTGTTACCAGAGCAGAGGCGCCAAAGGGGCCCGAGCAAAGGGAACTGTGGTGTCCCCGTGAGGGTGTGGCATGGTGGTTACAGTAAAAGGGAGCTGCTGAGGGGTCTGAGTCCAAGGTGGGGAAGGGAGCCCGAGACTGAGTCCGCAACTCACTGAGTGCCCGGGCCGGTGTGTCTCCTTGGGAAAGGGCAGCGTCGTCTATGACAGCAGCTTTGACCTCTTCAAAGAAATCGGACACCTGTGTCGCCTCTGCAAGGCCATCGCGGGCAACTCGGAGCTGGTGAAGCCAGGCGGGGCCCAGTGCTTGCCCTCAGGTATGTGTGGTCATGGCTGGGGAAGCTGTGAGGTCATGGTTCACATGATGCAGCTCAATAATGCATGCCTAGTGTTTGGATGTCTGTGCTGGAGTGTGCCTATACAGCGCTCACGGTTCTGTACAAACATTTCCCGGATATGCACAGGCTTGCAAGAGAATGGGAACGCCCAAGGGTGTGCTGGTGTAATGCTTAGGTATACCTCAAGGGGGAGCGCTTCCAAAATTGAGAGCTAGGCGACTCGCTGGTCCAAAGACTGAGGTGACCCAAAATATTACTTGCCACTGAGGTGGCAGGTGTGGTCTGTAGGTCTCTCAATGACACTGCCCAATGTTTGCAAGCACATTGGAAGCTTGAGAGGCAGGTGAGTGTGCACCCAGGTGTACTGTGTGGCATTGGCCCCGCTTCCTGCCACAGCCTCCTCTTGCTTCTTCCTACAGGGTACAGCATCTCCTCCTTCCTGCAGATGTTGCACCCAGAGTGCAAGGAGCTGCCTGAGCCCAACCTGTTGCCAGGGCAGCTGTCCCACGGGGCGGTGGGTGTCAAGGAGGGCCGTGTGCAGTGGATCTCCATGGCCTTCGAGTCGGTGAGCCTGGGGGCACTGAGCAGTCTGGCTGTCTTAAACATATCCCTCTCCACTCCTGTCCCTCAGACCAGAGAAAGACACCCAGGCTTTGGCCTGAGGTGCACAGCTGGCGTTTGTCAGTGACAAGCATCACCCCACCTGACTTCACCGTTTCATCCTTTCTGCCACACAGACTAAAATCTGTGGGAGGAAAGGGGTCCAGGCTGCTCCCCACTGTCTTCTTTATGTTCCCTAGGCTCTGCCAAGGGAGGTACAGGGATATGTGTACACACACACATGCACACAGTCATATCACCCGGCCTGGCCTCCCTGAGACCTGGCACTTCAGTCTCTCAGGCTCGATTTGGTGTCCTGCCGCCTCCATGTGGAGAGCAGGGACCCAGCCTCTACCTGATCCTGGTGTGAATGACCTCATGGATCAGATCCCCGGTTCCCTCTGTCCTCTGATTCTCCACCTACAAAGCAGGGTTAAAAAGCCTTCCCCTAACTGGGCAGTGGTGGTGCACGCCTTTAATCCTAGCACTTGGGAGGCAGAGCCAATCCGATCTCTGTGAGTTCAAGGCAGCCTGGTCTACAGAGTGAGTTCCAGGACAGCCAGGGCTACACAGAGAAACCTTGTTTTGAAAAAACAAAACAAAACAAAAAAACAAAACAAAAAACCAGCCTTCCTCTGCCGAGCCCAATCTGGCTGTTATGGAGACACAGGCCCACGGAAATGGAGACCAGGTGGGAGGAGGGAGGGTGGGCCTGATCTCCAGCCCCTCGTGCACTCTCCCATGGTCACTGTTACTTGTGATACAAACCATGAAGCCACTGATCCATATCATGGACTGGTGAACTCCAACCTGATGTGTGTGATCCTAGGCTGATGCAAGGTCTGAATCGAAGCTCCAGACAGGCTTCTTCTTCTTCTTCTTCTTCTTCTTCTTCTTCTTCTTCTTCTTCTTCTTCTTCTTCTTCTTCTTCTTCTTCTTCTTCTTCTTTTTTTTGTGTGTGTGTGTGTGTGTGTGTGTGTGAAACATACTGTAGAACTTAGTGTCTGAATTAGTTGGTTTTTTGTTGCTGATACCACCACCCCCCAAAAGAAAGAAAGGAAGAAAGAGAAAGAAAGGCAGGCAGAAAGGAAGGAAGGAAGGAAGGAAGGAAGGAAGGAAGGAAGGAAGGAAGGAAGGAAGGAAGGAAGGAAGGAAGGAAGGAAAACAGAACAACGTATGAAAGGACGTATTCTGGCTCAGGGTTTCGGAGAGTTCAGTTCACCATGGTAAGGAAGACGTAGCAGAGAATAGGGGGGCACACCCAGTAGGCCAGGAATGAGAATCCTGGCACCCCACTGCTGGCACTCCCCTAGCCTCTCTCACTGCACCTGGGACCCCAGCCTGTGGGTGGCGCCACCCACATCCAAGGTGAGTTTTTCTCCCTCACTCGGTGCTCTGTAGAAACCTCCAAGTTTTCCTCGCTGTCTCCTAGGTGTTTCTGAATATGAAATTAACAATAAAGATAATTTGTTATGAGTCCATGCCTTGTCAACTTGACACCTAAATGTATCAATTTAAGCCCTGATCTTCCACCCTGGTCCCCTCTAAGGCTCCTGTCCATCTCACAATGAAAAAAATGTATTCTTAACAGTTCTGACGTTTTTCAAAAGTCTTGACTTCAGAGTCTCCTCTGAGACTCAAGGCAAGCTCTCAGATGTGAGCCCCTGTAAAGCGCCGTGACCTCTTGCATCCTGCATATCCGCAAACCAGCACCATATGGATGACACCAAGGTCTGACACCAACTTGAGCAGTCCAAGGGCCCCTTTGGACCGTGGCTTCAGTAGCCTCTAAGTGCCCAGGTAGCTGAACTCAGGAAAACACTTCCTTAGGTAGCCCTGTGTTTGCCAAGGAAAAAAAGATCTTTCAGATGCATTATCATTTTTATGCACTGGAGTCTAATTCCTGTGATGTGCTTAAGGTCTTTCCTGTTGTACTAGTTAGAAATGCTTGGGCTTTCCTTAACAGTGCTAATCTACGCACAATCATTCTTCTACAGCTTTTAACTAGTTTCTTTTGTGAGCAGACTGCATGTTTTTCAAACCCTTCTACTCTGTGTTTTTGAATGCTTATTTTTACTATAAATCTGGCTAAAAGTGGGCATCGTTAACTATGCTGTAGCCTTGACCTCATGCTGTCTTGAAACTTCCTTGGCCAAATTAATTAATCTGTCACCTTCAAATGCATCCCCTCACAATGTTTGGAGACTGTCTTAATATCTTTCCAGTTGCTATTTGCTTTAGTCAGGGTTTTTATTGCAGTGATGAAACACCATGACCAAAAGCAAGTTGGGGAGGAAAGGGTTTATCTGGCTTACACTGCCATATCACTGGTCATTGAAAGAAGTCAGGTCAGGGACTCAAACAGGACAGGAAACTGGAGGCAGAAGCTGATGCAGAAGCCACGGAGGGGTGCTGCTTACTGGCTTGCTCCATGGCTTGCTCAGTCTGCTTTCTTATAGGAGTCAGAACCACCTGCCCAGAGATGGCCCCACTTACAATGGGCTGGGCCCTCCCCCACCAATCACTGATTTTAAAAATGCCCCACAGGCCTGCCTACAGCCTAATCTTAAAGAGGCATTTTCTCAATTGGGACTCCCTCCTCTCAGATGGCTCTAGCTTGTGTCAGGTTGACACAAAACTCCAGCACACTGTTATAAAACACCCTGACAAAAGCAACTCAAAGGGGAAGGGTTTATTTAGCTCACAGTTCCAGGTTCTGGTCAATCACAATAACTCACAGTGACAGGGTCCTGAGACATCAGGTCTCACTGCAGTCATAGTCAGGAAGCAGAAAGTAATGTGCAGGCATGTGTGAGCTCAGCTCTACACTTCATTTTTGTTTTGTTTTGTTTTGTTTTGTTTTGTTTTGTTTGTTTTTCGAGACAGGGTTTTTCTGTGTAGCTTTGGTACCTGTCCTGGATCTCACTCTGTAGACCAGGCTGACCTCAAACTCAGAGATTTGCCTGGCTCTTCCTCCTGAATACTGGGATTAAAGGTGTGTGCCACCACCGCCTGGCTTAAAATTATTATTGTTGTTGTTATTATTAGTAGTATATGAGTGTTTTGCCTGCATGTATGTCCATATAGCACATGTATTCAGTGCCCATAGAGGCCAGAAGAATGCATGAGATGTCTTGGAACTGGAGTTAACAGATGGATGTGAACCAGTTTGTGGGTGCTGGGAATCAAATCCAGCTCCTCTGCAAGAACAACCAGTACTCTTAACCACTGAGCCACCTCTCCAGCTCCTTGGCTTTACAGTCTTCCACAGTTCAAGCTCCCCTACTCAGATAACGGTGCCACCTCCAGTGAGTAGGTCTTCTCCTCTCAATTAATGTAATCAAGATACCACCACAAACAGACATGCCCTCAGGTTCACTTGACCTAGACAGCTCCTCACTGGGAGTTTCTTCTCAGGTCTTTGTAGATATTTCAAATTGACAATTAAAATTATCCACAACAGGGACAAGATAATATGTAGACAGTGTTTTTGCCAGATTATAACAGAATGGACTCCATTCTAATTCCCAGTAGAGCCCTTGCTCCCATCTGAAACTTCAAGCACATAGTCATTACTCTCCAAACTCCTGTCTGCATTCTGGTCTTCCAAACTCCCACCAAAATGGCCCAGTAAGCTCTGGTTAGAGCATTCTAGAGTTTTTCTAGCCCCACAGAGCCAAACTCTTTCAAATCCCTCCTTCAAATCTCTAGGGGCATAAGAACTACATGGTCAGGCTTAGTTACAGTAACAACCCCACTCCTGGTACCACTTTCTGTATTGTTAGTATTCTATTATTATGACCTAAATTTCTAACTGGGAGTAGGGAGGAAGAGTTTAGTCCATCATGGCTGAGACAGTGTGGAGGAACAGAGTATTTTTGTCATGGTTTGCCAGGAAGCAGAGAAAGAATGTTGGTATTCTCAAGCATTTTCTTAATATTTTATTTAATGTATGCCCCCAGCCCATAGAACAGTGCCACTGACATCCAGAGTGGGTCTTTTCCTCTCAATTGCTCTAACTCCCTGGAAATACCTTCAACATACATGTTCAGAGGTGTATTTCATCAGATCCTCAGTGATTCTAATTCTAGTCAAGTTGAGCATGAAGACTGGCCATCCCACCATTTTAAGCATAAAATTTTTTTGTGACATTGGCCACTGAGCATGGTATCACACACCTTTAATCCCAGCACTTGGAAGGCAGAGGCAAGTTGATTTCTGTGAGTTTGGGGCCAGCATGGTCTATATAGTGAATTCCTAGCCAGCGAGGGCCTTGTGGTGAGACCCTGCCTCAAAAAGAAAGGAAAATACATTGTCACTGTTGTACTACCATTGATACCAGCCATCTGCACAACTTTGCCCCCGTTAATAAAAAAGTTCCTTCCTCCCAGCCCTAGGCAACCCCCACTCTACTTTCTGTAATAAATATATCTGTAGATATATTTAGTGTTAAACTACACTAAATATATCATATAAATGGAACCACAGATTGGTCCTTTCAGTGGGCAACATGTCCTTCAAGATCCATCCACATTGTAGCATGTCATTGAACTGCCTTCCTTTTTTTCAGGCTGATGCCACAGCTACCTTAAAACTGGCAATGCCCTTGATCATCTCAGTCACCCACCAGGGCATCCTCTTCCAAGCTGACCCTCAGCAGCACTGACTCACATGTATGCATGTGCATACACACACACACACACACACACACACACACACACACACACACACACACACACACACACACACCACATCTGTGCATAGACATGCTGAGACTAAATCATAGCAGGAGTAGAACTGGGTCAGCGAGGGGACACAGAAGAAGGTCCTAAACCCTTTTAGGACCCTGCACTGTGAACTAGCCGACTTCCCAAGGCCTTGTGAGCTTGCATCCTCAGCCAAGAGACAAGCATCTGCCCAGATGTGCTGAGAGCCATGAGGAAGTCCTGGGGAGAGGGGCCAGTGCTTGAGAGCCCAGAGGAAGCATGCCACGAACAAAAAGAAAATTTCTCAGAGGGGATGGACCCCAGGCAGTCTTAAGGTCATGTGGAGAGGCTTCCTGGAGAGGCACAGGGTGGCACACGGGAGTGTGGAGGATTCTAAGAGTGTGTTATGTTGGTCCAGAGCTATGGCAGTGCATGGGGCGTGGTTTGGCACCCACATCCTCACAGGACCCCCTCCACTGGTGGCCACAGAGCAGCTGTCCCTAGGAAATGCAAGCAGAGTCTCTAGTCTCTGTCACTAGTCTCACCGGCCCCTGTCCCCTGCAGACCACGTACAAGGGCAAGTCCTCCTTCCAGACCTACTCGGACTACCTGCGATGGGAGAGCTTCCTCCGGCAGCAGCTGCAGACCTTCCCCGAGGGCTCAGCCCTGCGCCGAGGCTTCCAGACCTGTGAGCACTGGAAGCAGATCTTCATGGAGATCATAGGTGGGTGTGAGTCCAGCCCTGCCCCAGGCTGCGTGGTGGGCAGCCACACAGGGGCAGCTACCCACGTTGAGGGCATGGTGCCGTCTGTGCCACTCTTCTGTTATCCTGAGTCCTGGCTCAGAACCCAGGGAGAGTGTGGTGTGGCTGCCAGGCTACTGATGAGAGGCCAGAGTGTGGGTCCTCTCCTGCTGGTGGCATCTGGCCACGTGTGATCTTGAATTTGGCCACCTGGAAACTAACATTCAGGCCAGTGAGATGCCTCCGTGGATGAAAGCACTTGCTATGCAGGCCTGATGCTCTGAGTCAATCCCCGAATCCCACAGCGGAAGGAGAGAACTGACTCCGCTAAGTCCTCTGATCTGAACATGTGTGCCGGGTCACGTGGGCGTGTGCACACACATGCAATAATAATTTTTAAAGTAGGTCATGGCCCTTCCTAAGGGCCACCCCTCTCTGGGGGCCTGTTTAACTCCTTGAACTCCAAATAAAATTGACCTGTGGGCAGACCTTGCTTCTCCCAGAGAGAGGCTCAGGGTAGCGAAGCCGGCTAAACCACACTGGTAACCTCTGTCCTGGGGTCAAGCGGAGCTACAACCTCTTCGCCCTGCAGCCCGGGTCCCCTTCTCTCCTACCTTGCAGGGGTACAGAGCGCCCTGTACGGCCTGGTCCTCTCGCTGCTCATCTGTGTGGCCGCGGTGGCTGTGTTCACCACCCACGTCCTCCTCCTGCTGCCCGTGCTTCTTAGTATCCTGGGTATGTGTGCCAAGGGTGACGCGCGCTGGGGATGAGATCGGCCGGGGTACGTGGCGGGAGACAACAGGCCGGGTTCGGGCAAGTGCTTGGTGCGACAGTGGGCCAGGCTGAAGAGAATGGGACCAGGGAGGGGTCTTCTGGACCTCAAGGCAGCAAGTTTCTCGGACCCTCTGGTCACCCAGTCCTAGCAAAGCCCCTATTGCCATTCTCACTCATACCAAAGACCCTCAGCTTGGCATTCAGTGACAGTGACACATAGAAACTACATGTCTGTGTTCCCTGAGTGGAGCCAGGTGTCTCTCTGTGGCATTGTTTAGGTGAGTGACACATTGCTGTACCTACCCCTTCCCCCACTCTTTCCCTTCTCTCTGGCATTGACCCTCATCCCTGGATAGGATAAGGTCTATCCTATCTAGATAGGACAAGGTCTAAGGGTGCCTTTGCTGCCCCTCTTACAGGCATCGTCTGCCTCGTGGTGACCATCATGTACTGGAGTGGCTGGGAGATGGGTGCCGTGGAGGCCATCTCCCTTTCCATCCTGGTTGGCTCCTCTGTGGATTACTGTGTCCACCTAGTAGAAGGCTACCTGCTAGCTGGGGAGAACCTACCCCCCCACCAGGCCGAGGTGAGTGGTCCTGTGCATGCCTGACCCTGACTCAGCTCCCACCTTGGGGCAGTGGGAGGGAAGGACAGATGGACATCCCATACTCCACCCCTAGGCAGGCTGTGTCCTAAGGGCTGTTCCCAAGAATGCAGTGTCTCAATCCACAGCCCTGAGTGCATGGGGTGTCTTTCCAGCCATGAGAACACAACCCTCCTCCCTGCAGCCCACTGATGATGTAGTAACAGCCAAAGCTTGCTGTGGACCTAAGGAAGGGGCCGGGGGTGGGGTTGTTCTAGTTAACGTCTGTTGCTGTCATAAAATACCCCCTACAAAAATCAACATAGAGGAAGAAAGGTTTGTTTGGCTTAAAATTCTACTTTATGGCCCAACATTATAGACGGGCAAAAACTTCAGACATCTAGTTACATACTAGAGAGAAATTGGATGCGTGCTCCCTTGCTTGCTTGTGCTCACCTTGACTTGTCCACTATTAAGCAGTTCAGGACACTCTCCCCCGACCCCCTGCCTGGGGAATGGCACCACCCACGGTAGGCTGCGTCTTCCCACATCTTTTAGCCATCCCCAACAACCCAACCCGAATAGACGATCCCTCATTGAGACTCTTCTCCCAGGTGATTCTAGGTTGTCTCAAGTAGACAACTAAAGTGAAGACACTGACAAAATTAAGTCAGCTACACTTTTAGTCACTTTATTGTCAGAAGAATGGAATCACTCCGGTCAGAACTCGAATTTTTAAGGACCCACCGTGCATAGCCTCCCATCCTAAATCCTATCAGCATGCTTGTGCCTCTGGCCCTCCATCACCGTCCTACTTACGGGGGTGGGAGCCAGTCTCAGGCAGAGCCAGCCTGGGGCAGCAGTATATGCCCCCTGTCCCAAAGCCAAGCCGCAGGTGTGTTGCCCGCAGTGGGTGTCAGCCCCAGCTCACTCTCTCTCTCCACGGCCTCAGGATGCCAGCTCTCAGCGCCAGTGGAGAACGCTGGAGGCTGTTCGGCACGTCGGCGTGGCTATCGTGTCCAGCGCCCTCACCACTGTCATCGCCACGGTCCCGCTCTTTTTCTGCATTATCGCCCCATTTGCCAAGTTCGGGAAGATTGTGGCACTCAACACAGGCGTGTCCATCCTCTACACACTCACCGTCAGCACCGCCCTGCTGGGTATCATGGCCCCCGGCTCCTTCACCCGGACCAGGACTTCCTTCCTCAAGGCCCTGGGTGCTGTGCTGCTGGCCGGAGCCTTAGGGCTGGGTGCCTGTCTCGTGCTCCTGCGCAGTGGCTACAAGATCCCCCTGCCCAGCGGGGCTATGCTATAGCCCTGTGTTCGCATCCTGACTCATGCATCTCACCCCGCAGCCGAGGATGAGGGGATCGGAGACTCAGAGGCTCTTTGTTTTCTGGCCCAGTCCCAACTAGTTCCGCTCACAGGCTTCGTGGAACTGGGACTCAGAGCTGTGTGGGTCCACCACCTTCATCACAGCTCAGACTGGGTGTGAAGTCAGACAACCCCATACTGTCTGGGCTATAGCCCCCACACTGAGGTCTGCCTGGCAGTGGAGGATACTGGCCCTCCTTCCATACCGAGTCACCACTGAGCAGGTGGCTTCCTACCAGGGCCTCCTCTCACACTGCTTCGGTGTCATGACCTGCTTGGGTGCGCATTTCAGGACTCCCACTCTACAGATGTGGAAACTGAGGCACCAGGAGGCGGGGACTGCCCTGTGGCTGGATCAGGGCAGAGCCAGAGTTGCCTAGGAGCACAGGCCTCCCTGGGCCTTTGCAGGAAGAGCACAGTGGATCCAGGGGGTGCACAACCCCTGAACCACACCCCTCAGCTTTATGCAGCCAGTGCTTGATGGCCTTGTGATCCTCGTGGCCCGGTCTGTATCCAGGCCAGCACAGACAGAGGCACTTCCTGGGGTCATGCATGTCCTAGCCCCAGCCCCAGCCTCCAGGGAGCCTAAAAATCCCTCCCTGGAGTTCTGGCTCAGCCACCCCCACGGATCCCAAGCCTCCTCTCCATCACCTGACTGAGAATGGATGACTCGTGTGTGGTGAGGTGCTGCACGCACGCACGAACACACGCACGCACGCACGGGGAGGAGCTGGCTGCGCCAGCCGCCTGCTCACAGCAGATGGTCCCTATTAAAGTGAGCCGAAACTGCAGACCGCTGCTATTAACACAAGCATTTTCAGCCTCGCTGCCTCCATCATGTTCTTAAAATTGAAATAACTAAGTGTTCACACGCAGCCTGGCACAGAGGGTGGTACCGGACCTGGACAGGCACGGAGGTGGATGGGGGTGTCCAGTACAGAGATGGGGCACTCTGGGCTCAGTGGGAGGCTGGGGCCTCCCAGTGGGAGGTGGGGCTCAGGAGATGCCTCTGACTTTATGGGGCCCATCCAGTCCACAGTTGGGCATCTCTGAAAGCCTGGCATTTTGTGACAGCTACTGACCTTCCTGGGAATAGACATGTGGCCCTTGGGTTCTCTAAAGCTGGACACAGCTTGAGCTGGGACAGATCCCAGATGGGGAGAAAGGAGTCCAGGGTGGTCTACATACCAGCTCACCTGGTCACTAGTAGATATTGAAGGGAGAGCTGGGGTGCAAGGCAGATACCACTGTGTCCTTGTCTAGTGTACATCTGGCATGGCTTGGTGCCCAGTGTTTGTTGAGGGAGTATCAAACCTTTGGACCCACCGTCCACAGTGGAGGAATGAAATGATCACTGGTATAGGCTGGCATGTAACACAGCAGATGCTCTTCTTGGAGTTGGTGTTTGTTTCCTGAGGGGCCATGATGGCACCACAGATGTCTGCAGCAGAAGAGGGTCCTCGGCTGTGATAGTCAGGCTGTTCCCTCTGGGAATCCAAAGAGGGAATCTGGTCCAGCACCCTCCCCTTGGCTGCTGGGTATCTGCTGGCCTCCATGTGCCTATCATTTTATGTCCTTGTCCCTCTCTAAGAGGGACATCTGTCGTGCTGGATTTGGCCTCATCCTAATGACTCCATCTTACCCTTGTTGGCTTCGGAGACCCCACCCCTAATAAACTGTCTGTGAGGACTAGACATTAGGACCATAGCATACATGGGAGCAGGGCAGTCACACACAAGAGTCTGGTCTTTTTCTTTTCTTTTTTTTTTTTTCAGGGAAGGGGGATGGGGGAGTTCAAGACAGGGTTTCTCTGTGTAGCCTGGCTGTCCTGGAATTCGCTCTTTAGGGCCACCTTCCTCTGCCTCAAGAGTACTTGGAACTAAAGGCATGCACTACCATGCCCAGCAGGAGTCAGATCTTTTTCTAATCATCAGGTGTAGGTGATGCATTCAAGGGAGCCAATGCATGAGAGATGGGTTTTTTCTGGATCACGAGCCAGATGTGGAGCCTAAGTGTGTCCCCAAAGTGCATCATCAACCATCAAGGCACATAACCTCTCACAAAGGCAGACTATATTCCTAGGGGGTTGGAGGCTGCAGTCAGATCAAGGGGCCTGTTCTTGAACTCCTGAAGCAAGTTCTTGGATCTGCTTATCACACTCTCCTCTTGGTAAAGCTGGAACCCTGGGAGGCCTGTCACTGGGAGGAAGGTCTCAGGGAACAGGCTGGCTCTGACTGGGGGCTTCTGGAGCCCGCTGTGTGGCGCCCACATATACAGGGTCCTTCTATCTGACCACAACGTGGAGTGTGGTGCTAATGGTATGTCAAGAGAGTTGGAGAGGGCTTGGAAAACTGACAGCGTGTCCCAGAAGGACTGATGTCTCCAAGACCTTGTCCTGGTGACTTCCCAATAACCCAGTTTAATGTAGAGCTGGGTCATTTACATGCTGTCCACATGGCACTCGCTCACTTGAGGAGAGCCCTGCCTGGTCCATTACTTTAATGGAATAGCTCATTCTTCCCTGAACCTCAGCCTTTTCAGAGAGCTGTGGGGATGCTGCATAGGTGGGCTGAGGATGGAGAAAACTGTGGCTCAGGCTCCCTAGCCTCTGGGCAACTCTGTGACCCTTGGGACTCCTGTAAGTCAGCCTCTGATTTACAGATGAGCAGTCTGGTTATCAGGGAGGGTAAGTGCCTGTGGCACCACTGGCTTCTGACCAGGCTTGCTGTCTCCTCCAAGGATGGCAATCTCCACATCCAATTGTAGCGTCTCAGCCATACTTGCCTGCCTTCCTCCCTGGAGCCCCTGTATAGTGACTGATAGACCCACTTCCCACCTGGCTCTCCCCGGGGAGGGGTAGACATGGGAGAAGGAGGTGGTGACAGTTTGGGTGCTCTAGGGAGCTTGGGCCACGCAGCTGTCTGCCTCTTTGATCCCCTTCATCTTTGTGACTGCTGGCACCACCAGGTCCCAGAGGCACCAGCTCCCATGAACACAGGCTTGACCTTCCTCTGACGCCAATGTGGGCTGCAACCTTAATGAGCTTCGCTGAGCTTAATGAGATCTTTGTTCACTTGAGCTCAGCAACCAGCCCGGGGGGGCCCCAGGGTGTGCAGGCATCGGTGTGCCAAGGTGACAGTCCTCTGTGTGGAGGAGGGGCCAAGGGCACGAGGGGGTCTGAGGGGGGTGGGAAATCCCTACACCCACCAAAGGCCCCTTGACCCACCTCTCCATCAAGAGCAGTTGCCAACGACAGCTGCTTTTAAGGGGTGCCTACTCTACTTTTAAAGATTGTTCCCTGTCCCTTGAGAATCCTCAGTGTGCCTCACAAAAGTGCCTTTGTCTTGTCCCATTAAGGAAGCTGCAGACAGAGATGTGTCCCTGTCCTCTTCCCTAGTTGACCACAAGCTTTGAGAATGGATAGGACTGTGCCCACCTCCCCCGTCTGCCAGAGGATGCTGTGTTTCCTCCCGGGGTGGAGGCAGGTACAACGACAGTCTTTCCCAACAGAAGCCCGCTCTCTATCTGCCTGGAAGATTTAAAAGTTTGGTGATGAGGCTGTGGGAAGGCAGGTTCTCGGGGATCTCCTGTTGGAGTGCATAATCTGCTCAGCCATGCAGGACTGTTTGTCAGTAGCAGAATTATAGCCATGCCACCCTTGGATTCATCACCCCTGCCCCTGCGAATTGATCTTGCAGGTAAACTTAACCCTTGACGAGTGCAGAAGGTATGCACTGAAGATTAGTCTGGCTTATCAAAGTGCCAGAGCCCACCACATCCATCAGCACTGGAACAGGGGGAGTGAGCGCCATAGGTCTGTGCTCTGCAACTGAAAATTAAGAGGGAGCTTCCTCAGTGCTGGGATGGAAAAATTGCCAAGGGAGATTAAATGAGAGAGGAGGTTGTAAAACTGGGATACACTAGCTTATGTGTTTGAACAATATCCAAGCAGGTGAGAACCTGTACTTGTTTTTTGTTTGCATGTGCATTAAATAATTCTGGAGAACAATACAAGGAGAAACCGAAACAGTGGTTACCTGTGTGTGCCGGGGGTGGGAGCGCTACTCTGAGGCAGAAGCCATGGAAGAAGCCTCCGACCGTAAATCTTTGTGCACTCGGTGTTCTGACTGCGGGAATCGATCATGTAGATGATTTTCCTGTAAAGAGAGGGGTGGCTGACACTGGCTTCTTGAGAAGCTCACTCCAGCAGCAGGAGGGAGAGAAGGGGTCCCACTACAGACTTCAACAAGCATAAGCTGACATTTGTGGCATCTGATGCCCTTCCAGGAGCTGCTGGTGGCAATGCCAGGAGCCCACCTGCCACCTTCTCCAAGCAAGGACAGGGTTGGAGCTAGAGAGACTGGGGTGATCAAAGCAGTGGTGGCCCTGATCCCCCCCCACACACACACACCCAGGTGTAGATGAATGAGCAGTGAAAATGCTCAGAATGGGCTGCTTTGGGTAGCGGGAGGTCAGATCTTGGCTCATTGCGCCCTGCCATGCTCTTACAATAGCACCTTCATTCTGCTTCAGCTGGCCTTGTGTCTGGGCAAGTCACACATTCCGTCTTTACCTGCTCACTCATCCGTTAAATAGAATAATACCCACTGAGTGTGGTCTTTGTGTTTTAATAAGATGATGTTTGCCCAGGCCGTGGCCGCAGTGATACCTGTCCTGCCATCCTCCCTGTCGTCTCTTATCAGACAGGTCTCTCCCAACCCTGAGTAGATGGATGTGTTCAGCATTCCAAAACTCTTCAGTAAGCAGGAGCTGTCCCTCCCCACCCTTCTGACTGGGGTGGAATATGCTTTCTTTCCCTCCCGACAGTAAGCCTGGCTGTGGGGCCCATGTTATTCAGTGGGACATGGCAAGCTGGAAGCAGTAAAGGCTTGAAATATGGCTGTCCCTCTGTGTTTCTGCCTCTCTGAGTAAAGCACAAGGTCCATAGCTTCAGGAAGCTGAGAAGCCCGTGGGACCAGCTTGAACCCACCTCTGGCCTGCGGCCAAACCTAGATGGCCCTAGCATAGATCAGACTCTCAGGGGACAGTAAATGATTAGTAACGGAAGACCCTGTGTTTGGGGGGGTTTGTTATGACAGCACCTCCTGGAACCTTCAGAGTTCATCTGAGGGTTTTCTTGCAGCTTTGGGGCTCTACAGGGTCCCACCGTCATTCCTACACGGTCAGCTCATGCCACACCCTCCCCTTTACCTCCAGGCCTCTGCCAGCCAAACTTCACCCCAACGTGCGGTGCTGCAACCCCCAGCCCGTGCACGGGCCTTCCCCTCTTGAACCCCCTGCACTGTGTAGTGCCTTCTTGCCCTGTAGGAGTTGGCTTCACCACAGAAGCCTTTTGTGGGGACCCCAAGTGTGGGCTAGTCAACACATAGCACCTAGCCTCCCTTTTTGTGCTGTTTAATGACCTGCTACTTGGTTGGCTGTCTCCCCCAGTAGGGGGGGGGGGTGCTCCATGGAGGCAAAGGATGGGTGTCCAAGCTCTTGCATATTGTGTTCACTGTAAATGCTGACTGAATACAACACACACACACACACACACACACACACACACACACACACACACCCTCCATCTACATGAGAAATTAGATGATCTCTTGTGATGGAGCTGTATTAGTTACTGATCTGTTGCTATGAAGAGACACCATGACCAAGGCAACTTATAAAACAAAGCATGTGACTGGGGACTTGCCTGCAGTTTCAGAGGGTCAGTCCATAGCAATCATGATTGGGAGCATGGCAGCAGGCAGGCATGGCACTGGAGCAGTAGCTGCGAGCTCACATCTGATCCACAAGCAGTGGGCAGAGAAGGCTAGACTGGGCTTTTGAAACCTCAAAGCCCACCTCTGGTGACACTCCTCCTCCAACAGGGCCACACCTCCTAATCCTTTCTCAATGGTCCACCAACTGGGAACTAAACATTCAAATGTGTGAGCCTATGGTGGTCATTCTCACTCAAACCACTACGGGGACAGAGCAAGGTTTGGGGGTAGGAGGGGCCATGGTGCTTTCTACCCCACTTCCCAAATCCTATTTCTCACCCCCACCCTCTACTCTTTGTATTTTAAGTACAGTCTCATGTATCACCAGGTTATCTTCAGACTCCCTATGTATCCAAGGGCAACCCTGAACTTCTGACCCTCCCTCCACCTCCTGAGCGCTGAGATTTCAGGTGTGCACCACCATGCCCAGAGTATTGCTTTGATTCCTAAGGGGCTCAAAAAGAATGTTTCTACAGTGCTCCATCCTTGAGGTACAGCCATTTGGCTCCTGGCTTCAGAGCTTTGTGAACTTGCACGGGCCCCTCTATCTCTGAGACTCAGGGTATCCATTTCTTGGTCCTAACAAACCACTTCAAAGTCCACTGGCTTAAAACAACAAGTACATGCCAGACAGTGGAGGCACACACCTTTGATCCCAGCACTCCAGAGGCAGAAGACAGGTGGATCGCTGTGAGTTCGAGGCCAGTCTGGTCTACAGAGTGAGTTCCAGGACATCCAGGACTATACAAAGACACCATGTCTCAAAAAACAAAAACAAAACAAAAAACAAACAAGTACACCAGGCTAGAAAGATGGCTCAGCAGTTAAAATCACTCACTGCTCTTACAGAGGACCCAAGTTTGATTCCCAGTACCCACTCACAACCACCTCTAACTCCAGTTCCAGGGGACTCGACACCTTCTTCTGGCCTCATGCATCACTTAAAAACAATAAAAAGAAACTTTAAAAATTTATGTTTATCCCCTGATTCCATAGTACCACAGAGTAAGCTAGGCTCCTCTGGGCTCCTCTGGGCTCCTCTGGGCTCCTCTGGGCTCCTCTGCGTGGTTTTGATCCTAGTGGGGCTCTTTCATTAGTCTGCACTTAGCTACAGGTTAGCTGGGTGGCTGTATCTTCCGGGGTTGGAGACTTGCTAGTTAGTAGACTGAAAGATGTGTCACAAGGCCACGGGTCACCCAGCATCCAGCATTCATCAGACCAGCTCAGCCTTGTCTACAATGCCATGTTCCCAGAAAGTGTGGGAATGTACACAGAGCCTCCTTTTGTGAGCTGAGCATCACCCTTCAAAAATGGTATTTTGAAATCCTGACCTCTGGTATTTCATCATGTGGCCTTGTTTGGAAGCAGGCTCTTTACAGATTGAATCAAGTTAAAGTGAGTTCATTAGGACAGACTCTGCTTCTAATAAAGTGTGACTGGTGCTGGGGCCTGAAGTGTGTCCCACCCTATCCCAAAATTCATATACTGATCCCAAATTGTGGACGCTCATGTGTGACTTCCTTGGAGGTGGGCCTTTGGTGGTGGGGGGGGTGAGTAAAAACCAGGCGGACAGCATGGACCCTGACCCAATCTGGCTGCTGTCCCTACAGGTGAGAAGCAATTAGGATGCAGAAATCAAGAGCATACAAAGGGTGGAGGACACAGGGTCAAGGTGCTGTCTGCAAGCCAAGCAGGGGGACCTGGGCAGAACCAGCCCTGCCAGCACCCAGTCTAGGGAACAAACGTCTGTTGTAGAAGCCCCAGCCTGTGGGGCTTTGTTATGGCAGAAAATGAATATAACTGGTGTCTTTAGAAAACGAAGTGTGGGGCTGGGTGAGGGGATAGCTAGCTCGGGGACACACAAGTGTGAGAACCTGACTTCAGACTCCCAGAACCTGTGTAAGAGCCAGGTATGGGGTCAGGAGTCGGAGAAGCTAATGCTTCTACAGCAAGTCAAGATGAGAACAGAAAAATCCACAGACGCTCGCGGGCTAACTTGCCCAGCATACACAGTGGGGAACAAATGAGGCACCCCACCTCAGCAAGGTGGGATGAGAGGACTGTCCTCTAACAACAAACACACTATGGCACACACACACACACACACACACACACACACACACACACACACACACACACACACACACACGGGGCTGGGGAAGTGTTTAATGAGGGAAGCTGGACATAGACACACATAGATAATACAACCATACAGAGATACATGCCAGGTGAAGTTGGAGGACCAGAGCTGCTTATCTTTAAGCTGAAGAGCACCTATGGACTGCAAAGTACCTGAAGGTGGGGAGAGGCAAGGATGGACTCCACAGGCTTCACCAGGCCATGGGCTGCTGGCATCCTGCTTTCCTGCTTCAGAAACAAAAGATCTTGCATGTCCACTTTTGGTACTTTGTTAGGGCAGCTAGGCAACCAAGACACCAGCATCCTTTCTGCAGTAGAAGGGATGCTGGCAGGCTCTGACCCAGGCCTGGTGTCAAGTCCATATGGACCATGAAGTGGGATCTGTTGGGTCAGATGCTGGTAGAGAGATGCTGTCTATCCATCCTACTAAAGGAGCTGAAAAGTCCTCTGCAATAGTTTGCAGATTCAGATTCTGTGAGAGAAATGAAAGCAGCCTGTGGGTCATGATCAACCATTCCCAGACTTCATCTGTTGAACAAGGCAAGGATGCAGCTCATCCACCTCACACAGTATTGTTGCAGCCAGGTTTCAGTGGAGAGTGTGGCACAGAGGGCACAAAGTGATGATATGTTGAAGTTTTTTTGTTTTTTGTTTTTTAAAGAAAATTCTTTGTTCACAGTTTAATTGAAATTTCCAGAACAGTGCTGTGCTGGCATGGAGCAGAAACTCAGAGCTAATGAATTCCAGTTGGCTTGGCATTGAGGTCCCTGCCTGCCCACAGGGGTCCACCTGGCACTACCTCTTCTGTGCAGGTACCTAGTCTGTAGGAAGGAAACTGCCTCTGAATGCAACAGCCTCATTCCCATGACAGCTGCTGTGGAAAACCCAGACTGTCAGCCACTGTGCCCTCCTCATCGCAGGAATCTGCTTCACACGACAGGCTCTTGTCTCCTGGTTCAGACAGAGGCAATGAACCCTAGTGAGGGGAGCAGGCAGGCAGCTGGGAGGGGGTCAGTCCTGCTCTGCTCCGACCGCCTTCCCCAACTGTCACTAGTGTGGGGCGGAGGCACGGGAGGCACACGAGCGCTTACCAGCATCCCGTTCCTGCCCT